ATAACCTAAGTGTCCCTCAACTGAGGAATGGATAAAAAAGTGTGGCACATTTATACAATGGAGTACTACTCAGCTATAAAGAAGAATCACATTGAGATATTCATAAACAAATGGATGCAGCTTGAACCCATATTCATAAGTGAAATAAATCAAACTCACCTGTATGAATATTGAATAATTTCCCAATTGTAAGAAATGAATCAAAAATACAAAAGTATGTGGTAATCTTGATTCCCCATTATGTGGCTTTGAAGCCTTACAAAGTTTTCACTCGTTAATTGGAATGGTTTTATTCTGTGCTGTTTGATATTATTGCCTGTGATTATACGAACAGCTATTTTGAAGAAAACAAGACATCCTAATAGCTAGTGCTGATTTAATATCATTGTGTTTTGATGTCCCACCAAACTGTCTTCTGTCTCCATTGTTTTTATCATGTTGTATCTTACTGGATTTTATAATATGTGATAGTATAAACAAAAATATTTATAGGCAAAGTGATAATATAGAAACTATTGTTCATTTTCCATTAGCTGATTTTAAATACCCTGTAATACATTCATCCTCTTGAATGGTTTCACATTGCCTTGATATGTTTGATGCCATAGTACACGAAGTTATACTCAAATATTTCTAGTAAAAAGACACTATGGTAACTACTATTAAGTCGAGTTATCTTGTAGTGAAGCACTAGGTTGCTGAAATTGTTATGCTTTGATCTGTGTTATGTTGTTATGTCCTCTTTTATCTCAATCTCTCTGTTTATTAAAAATATTTATTTATTTATTTATTTATTATTTTAATTAAGGGAAAAAACAAAAAATTAGCAGGATATATTATAGTAACTTTTTGATTTCCTATTAACTTGATCTGAAGCCCTATATAGCTCCCACTATCTTGTTTTGCGTGACTTTACTCTCTTCCATTCTGTATGATAGTGTCAAGTTTGAGGGTATAGGCAACTACTTTGAAGGTAAAAAGATTCACTATGATGCCCATTCTGGTTTGACTACTATCTTGTGAAGTCCTGTAATGTCTCCAGTGTTTAGGTTTATTGGTCTTGTTCTGTTTTATTTTGTTCAATTTTGTTATACCTACTGATACAGGCAATTCTTTTTAAGGTAGCAAGAGGCATTATGATAACCATTGTTGATTACCTTGTATTCTGTTTTTACATCATGTACTATGTCCATCCTTTGTTTTGACTGACTGCTTTGTTTTGTCATATTTGGTTTTATTCTCTTCCAAAGAAAGTAATAAGAACTATGGGAGTAATAAAACCCAAAATGTGTAAATGTTGTAAAAAAGAGATGGAAAAAGTGCTCTAAATGATGCCGACAAGTGTGTTTAGGTGTGTTAAGATAGATGAACACATTATTGAGTGTTTGTTGGATCATTGAAAACAACTGTTTGCAGTCTCACTCTTTGAATGTCCACTTTGTATGCTTTAATCCTGTAACTGGAACAACTATTTTTAGCTTGACAATATGTAATCCATTAACTAGTGATTTCTTACTGTTTTTTTTTAAATTATGTATTACTTATACCTTTGTGCTGTTTTGTTTTGTTTTTCTGCTTTGCAGAAAATAACAAATAACAAATGTTGGCAAGGCTGTAGGGGGAAAAGGAACACTGCTCCACTGTTGGTGGGAAGGTAGACTTGGCGCAGCACTGTGGAAATTAGTATGCAGATTCTCAGAAGACTAGGATTGGAAGTTCCACTCACTTGAGCTATTCCACTTCTGGACATTTTCCCAGAAAACCTGAAAAGGTTATGTCACAGTGACATATGTACACCTATGTTCATAGCAACACAATTTTTAATAGCTAAATCTTGGAAACAACCAATATGCCCTTCAACCACAGAGTGGATGAGAAAGATGTGGTATTTTTATACAATGGACTATTACTCAGCTATAAATAAGGATGATCTTGAGGCCTTCATAAGTAAATGGAGGCAACTTGAGACTATCCTCGTGAGTGAAATATGTGCGAATCATATTTATAAATATCACATTTTGTCTCTAGTGTAAAATGTAATAAGAAATGTAGGTGTAAGAAAACCCAAAATGCGTATTGCTATTATTAAAAAAGAGAGGAAATGGAAGTGCTCCAAAGGGTATAACTCAATATATGTTTAAGTGTGTAAGATAGATAATCATACTACTAAGTTCTGTTGGATTGTGGAAGAGAAGTGTTTGCAGTCTCACTGCTTGAATGTTCACTTTGTATGCTTTAATTTTGTACCTTGAACAACTATTTCTGAGATGACAGTATGTAATTTATCAACTAATGATTTCTTAGTGTTTATTTTTTTTGGAATTCTGTAATGTTGCTATCCATTTTTCTATTTTACTTTGTTTTCTCTTCAAATAAAATTATTTTTATAAGCATAACATTTTAGTTATATAAAAAGCATTTCTGTTGTTAAAGGTTGCTTCTATTGACCTGTTTATTTTGGCACTGTATTCACTTGATGACTTTGGGCATTCTGGCCAGATTTGCCAGTGCAAATTCTCACAGAGCACCCTGAAGATAACTGAGACTGAGGGAAGACATTACCACATGCAGTGAGATGGCACTTAGGATTCATTTCTATCAAATTTTGCATTTCCTAAAATCAACCAGGCAGTGACTCTTGGGAATCTGCTGCACATTTGATTCCAACTTGCTTCCCTCGGCCTCCTCTAATGAAGTCTGGGTGCCAGGGGTTTTTCCATGTGGACCTACCTGACCTCACTGGAGATGGCAAGAAGTCCTGAGGTCACACAGTGCAAAGAGATTAAGACAGTTTCATTTATGACTGCAGCAATCCCACCTGTGCACAAAGATGGGCTACATGTAGGCAGCAGGAAAGTGGCCCTGTGAACAAGGAAACCTGACCTTGGTTTTCTTGTTCTCCTGAGTTTGCTTTTTTTTTTTGGGAGGATGGGTGAACCAGCAACTCTGCTTGACGTTCATGGTGAAGTATGCCATCATGTCCCATGAAATGAATGACCATGTCACACAGGTGAACAGAAGTATGTTCAGGATATATATATATATATATATATATATATATATATATATATATGGTTATAGTGTAAATGCTAGCATGAGTGTGAGTGTACTCATGGTCCAGATGGATTTAAAAATCTTGAGACAGGAGAAACTGTGAATCTCAGTCCTCCAGGGTTTCTAAAACTATCTCCTTTATTAAAAGTAATTCTTAAGAATTTTCTATTTTATTTCACTTAAAAATGTCTTCTTTTCTCTTCTTTTAGGCAATGAGAAACATTCTAGTTGTTAGAAGAAAAAAGAAGCACAGAACCAAAAAAATTCTTTCCTAGGAATGACTTCTTCGTGAGTACTCAATGTTTGATTGATTTGTAACTTAACTGAGTCAAAATTTTAAACCAGAGACTGCTTATTTTTAAGCAGTAGATCATGCATACAAACACCAATTCAAACAAATCAAAGAATTAAGCAAAGCAACATTTAATTTGATGACTGATTCACTAAAGCACTTACTGTCAGCAGGTGCTATGACCCCTTCCCCTAGATGAAACACAAATTCATCTGCTCCCAAGCCAGATCATGGCTTAAAAGTCAGTGTTTTTCTGTTTACTGCAAGGAGCACCCAGGTGTGATTCCAGCCACCCAGAATCCTGCAGTGTAATAATGATGCCCGCAGAGGGGCGAATGCTGAAGGCAGAGCAGAAGGAAGCTCTGCTGCTGTGCTGAGTGGGAGGAATGAGGGTGATAACCATGTACCCCTGAGGTTTGTTCAATGAGCCTGGACAGTGAAGTAATGGGAGAATTCTTCACTATGTTTGCATATAGTTTCTCTTCTAACCATGAATCCGTGGTTTTGAGATGCTTCATGAGCTTCCTGCTCATTCTAGGGTCTTAGGTAAAGAGCTCGAGGAATGGATTTCAGATATGGGTTAGAATATGGTGACAGGAACACTTTTGTATGCTGTCTGTCTACAGCAAGCTGAACTCAGGGCCTAAGAGGGCTTCCTGGACTGCATGTCTATTAGAAGGTAGAACACATTTTGCCTTTTGCTTTTATCACTGGGCTGGTCCTGTACCTTTCTTGGTTATCTTTCTGTGGTTCCTCGTATATTCGTTGACCTTGGCTCACTGATCAATCTGTCCTGTTCTGACCCCTGATCTACAGAGATGCTGACATTTGGCCTGACTTTTTTCATCCTGTGTATTTCCCTCCTCATGACCATCACTATGTACAAAAACACAGTGGTAACACTGTACACCTCCTACAAGACAGGGAGCGGCAGCCTCTGTCTTCATGAGCTCCTCTCACCTCTCTCTGGTGGGAGTCTCACTGTAAACTGTTCTGTATCTGTATGCTTTTAGTTGTTTATTTTATCTTCAGAAAATGCTGGTTTGCATTTTACTTTCTATAACTTATGCAGTTTTAGTAAATTAAACCAGATACTGTTTTCCAGAAAGTAAATTATACATAAAAATTATCTTCAAAAACAGCGAAATAAGAACAAAAAAGCAGAACCAAGAAAGCTCAACATCAACACAAAGGAACTTTTCAAAATAATGAATAATCAAATATTTAAATGTAGAACATTTTTCTTCACTGAGAGAAGTATTCCAGTGTGGGAAGGGTTGATTTTAGACAGAGATCAATCTTTACTTTTTGATAATAATTTTTGGGACACGTTTGCAATATGTAATCTATACATTTACTTGTGGAAAGTTATAGAAGCTCATAATGCGTCTTAATTATTCATTTTGTCCCCTTCCCTGATCCTCCTTGACTAATTAGGCAAACCGTTATTCTCAACTCATCTTCAAAAGCTTTATTTCCTTCTTTTCTTCAACTATTATTAATCCCTTCTCCTTTCCTTTCCCTTCCCCCTCTGTCACATCCTCCCCTTCTCTTTGGAACAACGGTCAGTTTCCTAACACGAACGCTTTGCTTTTCTCCATTTTTATATTTCTGCATTCTCAAAAGACAAAGAAGATTGATAAAGCACAGACAAAGGAAGATAAAGATGGAGATAAGGAATGGGACAGCTGTCCAGGAGTTCACCCTGGAGGGCTTCCCTGCAGTCCAGCACCTGGGGAAGGTCCTCTTCCTGCTGCACCTGCTGGCCTACCTGGCCTCTGTCACGGGGAACTCGCTCATCATCACCATCACCTGGGCTGACCGCCGCCTCCACACCCCTATGTACTTCTTTCTCAGTGCTTTCTCCTTCTGTGAATGTGGTTTCATCACCACAGTTATCCCAAAACTACTGAGCATCGTTCTATCTGGAAGACAAATAATTTCCTTTGCTGCCTGCTTCACACAAGCATTTTCTTTCCTTTTCCTGGGTGCAACAATGTTTTTCCTGATGGGCGTGATGTCCCTGGATCGCTACCTGGCCATCTGCAAACCTCTGCACTACCCCACCCTCATGAACATAAGGACGTGCGTCCTCCTGGTCACTGCATGCTTCTCTTTGGGATTTCTGCTTATGGTGATTCCAGTCATAAAACTGTCCCAGCTGTCCTTCTGTGGCCCCAATGTCATCCCTCACTTCTTCTGTGATTTGGGACCCTTGGCAAGGCTCTCCTGTCCTGAAAGCAGATCTATTGAAGCACTGTTCTACAACCTCGTCTCTTTTCTGCTTTTTACATCCTTCTTTATGACTGTCATCGCCTACAGCAACATAGTGATCACAATCCTGCGCCTCCCATCAGTCAAGGAGCAGAAGAAAGCCTTCTCCACCTGCTCCTCTCACCTCATTGTCCTGTCTCTGATGTATGGTAGCTGTGTATTCATCTATGTGAAGCCAAAGCGAGCGAACAGACTGGACACCAACCGAGTGGCTGCTCTGGTGAACACGGTGGTGACCCCGTTGCTGAACCCCGTCATCTACACCCTGCGCAACAAGCAGGTGCACCAGGCACTAAAGGATGCTCTGTCCAAGGTGAAGTTGCAGAAATAAAATCACAACATTTTAGTGGAAGGGTTCACCTTACATGACACTGAGTCCAACTGTTTTCTATTTCCAGGATCATATACTAGGAAATAATGTCCACTTTTTTAGGTTGTGTTTGCTAATCCACGAATCATCCTTAATGTATCCAACAACTCAATTTGAAGGCACTCATCATTTCATATTATGATGAAAATGTTTTCCAGAAACATTTCAGCAATTTGAAAGTAATCAAATTCACCATATTTAATAAAGGGACTAATATAGGCATAATTCTTTGTTAGGTTGTATGTCACAAGCAAAAGTGTGTGGTGCAAATATGTGCCTATGGTGAGAGCATGGAATGGAGAAGGGCTTTCGTGCACATTGAGACTAGCAGAGAGCTCCAAAGAAGATATAATATGTCAGCGTCGGGAATTCTAGAGGGCATCAATGCATTCCTTAAAATGGTTCAGTACAATTGTTTTAAATGTTGCTTTTTTCAAAGGTTGTATATTTAATATACAAATACAAATTTTTAGAAACCCACTTTCACTTTGATGGAAACATATGATGTGTGCAGGTGAAATTGATAGACTTTGTTTCATTTGTTTGCCAAACTGGTTAGAACTTGAAATCAACACAAATGACTATTGGAAAGGAATGAGATTCATAAGAAGGAATTGAATATTGTCCATTTTTTCTCTGTCACAGAAAATTTAAGGAAATTAAGGTACATCAAATTAGAATTAAAAAGAAAGCTAATTGGGCTTGCAATATCTCTCCACAGGGATTTGTGAGTGAGTCTCTACATCAGTGGAGTGAGAGGCTTGAGTGTGATCACTTCTGCTGACACATTCAGGCTGATATGAAATCATAGTCAAGATTGAAATAAGCACAATTTGAACATGCCCGATAGAAAAATAAAGTCAGTCTAATGGAAAAGTCCAGTTACAGTTGTGACTGTATTTTGTTATTAAAGATTATGCTACAAAATGTGGAACTTGAGACAAAATTCTGCACAAGAGCTTGTTTGGCATAAGTGGTTGAAGTCATCTATGTGGTTTGGTTTTGTGGCACTGTTCTGTGAGTTTGGGAACTATGAATGGTTGTGTAGGGGATATTCTGGGATCATAAATATGAAAGAATTTAAAGCATAGGTAACTCAACAGAATAGATATTTTGTATGTGCTGATTGTATTTAAGGATAGCAATAAAACATTATGTAAGTTTGTAATTTTCCCCTCACATTGGGATATTTGTTTTGCTAACATAATTTCCCCACTAGTGATTTTCTTTGCCCAAATGAACATTGAAATGTGTGGTCACTGCTTCTTTGAATTCATTAAAATTTGAAATTTAAATGACAATTCAAAACCTGGCTTGGAATAGGTGGGTAAAATAGATTTTTTTTTGGTCTTTTTCCTTTTTATCTGTACTGGGGATAGAACTCACCACTGCCTGCTTGCAAGGCAGGCACTTGTGCCACTGAGCTAAATCCCTAGCCCTGTAAAATAGTGTTTTAAAGACACACATTGTTTTAAAATAAGATGTCATTGACACAACTATTGCCACAATGTGATATTCCACAGATACACTACAATTTGTTTATCTATGAGTCTGTTGATGGGCTTTTGAGCAGCTTCCTTCTTTGTCACTTGAATAGTACTGTTGTGTTTGAGTATTTGCTTAAATACTTATGCTTAATTCTAGTGCTTAGGAAAGGTGTCATGGTGTGGGAAGTCTTCAGAAAGTACTCAAGGGAAAGAGGTTTCCATTGTGCTGATAAAAAGAAAGTAAGCTTTTATTTGTGGGTATTGTGAATTGTACTACTATGTATAACTTAGTGCATGCTGTTGCTTCAGTATTGGTTTTAATACTTTCATAACTAAAAGAAGTTTTAGTTCTTTATAAACTACAACAGAAATTGTGATGGGAGGAAGGACTGGGGAGCCCCTTACTAGAGGTTGAGTGGAATCCTCTTAGCTGATAAAATGCTTTAGAACTAGATAAATGCAGCCATTGCACACATTGAATGCACTGCATGCTACTGCATTACTCACTTTTTAATGATTAATTTTATAGGTGTGCTGATTTCAAATAGAAATACCCATAGCTCATAAAGGTTTATACATTGTTGAAAGTTTTACAATAAAAAATGACAGCCCCTTTTAACCAGGCTGCTGACCTGGAGACATCAGGCCTCATGATGCAACACACCCTCTGCTAATATAAAACAAAAAGGAACAGGAACAGAGAAATAAAATAATGCTGCAAGAGCTCAAGAGCTCATTTAAGAATTTGTATCAGTTCATAGGAGCAGAGTCCATTGTAGAGTGTGTGCACAGGAAGACTTCCAGGGAGCTTAGCATAGCTGAGGTGCCGGGAAATGGTTCAGAACAAAGACAAAAGTGGAGGTTCTTGGTGTTCCCTGTGAGGTAGGAGACACTGTATTCCTCTATGAGCTCTCTGCTAAGGACATCAGCACATCTTGGCTCTGAGGGAACCTATAATCTTTCCTGCTAGGGATCCCAGAAATGGAGATGTGGCTACATCTGAGCTTCAGGAAGCAGCTGCTGTACCAGACTCTGTCCCAGAATTCCACCTCTTCCCATCCCTGCATCCACCTGACCTTCAAGCCTTGGCTGGCCTGGGATTACTCATACTGCAAACAGAGCTCTTCGGATGTAGCTCTACTGACCCCATGTTGCATAAGCTGGAGCTACTGTACAGTGCAGGAACTTGATCCAGACCCCAGAGCCAAGTTTTCTCTCTTGATAAGGTTCCCCTGTCAAGACTTCAGTTCAGCTCCCACTGAGAGTTACCCCATATTTCAAACCTGGCTCTGAGGTTGAGCTGAACAAGCATGCCTCCAAGACTAGAGTCACTGCCTTCATGACCAAGCTCATGCCTTGGATTCCGGTCTAGTGTGCAGCCGATTGTTCAGACCCAGGTCAACTGCCACGGACAGCAGGACCCACTGTGAACTCAAAGCCACCCACGTTCCCATCTCCAGCCTCTTGGATGCTACAATAACTGAATCCCATTACAAACTTGGTCCTGGCATATCAGTATCCTGGATACTGTCAGCATGATAACCAAGATCCTACAGCTGTAGCCACCCCAGGTATGTCTCTGGTTTAGACCTTTGCTCCCTGGTGACTCTATGAGTTCCACACCTCAGACACCAGTGCCACTGCCACAGAGAAGGGCCTGCACATCATACCCAATTTCAACTGGCTTTCCTGGGCCATGACTTTCAGGACCGTCTTAGGAAAGGTATCGTGGTGGGCTCTAAAGAAAGACTTTTTCTCAAAAGCAAGGAAGCAAGCAAAAAAAGTTGGCTAGCCATCAGTGATAAATGAGGGAGAAACAATATAATCTGAGGTGGTTCATAACCATTAGAATTTTTTACCTTATAAGAACTGCTGAAGGAAGTTCTTTGGTCTGAAAGAAGAGAACACTAACTAGAAGTATGCAAAAATGAAAGAATGAACTTACTGGTGCACAGTACATTTAGAATACCATCATACAGTAATGACAGTGTGTATTGAAAACATATCTTTAATATGAAGCTAAAATTTGAATTATGAAAGGTAATGGCTGCTACCACATGATAAAGTGCAATCCCTATAAATGATGAAAATCATAATATAAAATGTGGCAGGAAAGAGTAAAAGTTTTCAATTTTTTATGTGATCAAATTAAATTAAGTTGCATTAATTTTCTTCTAATACTCTCAAGTTTATGTTTGTTTATGGCTATGTTGTGCTCCATTATATAAAACAACATATCTTTTTATTCATTTCATTGTTGATGAGCATTTGGGTCATTTCCCAGATTTAGCTGTTACACCTTGTGGTGCTATAAACATGGGTGCACAAATATCACTGTGGTGTGATGTTTTTAATCTTTCTGAGAAGACACCCATGAGGGTAACAACGGGTTGAATGGGGTTTCTAACCCTAGGTTTTGAGGAGCCTGCACACTGAATTCTAAAGTGGAGGCACCAGGCTACACACCCACCAAGAGTGAAAAAGGGTTCCTTTTCACCCATAGTCATCAAGCATTTTTTATTGGTTGATATATTGGTGATAGGCATTCTTTCTGGAGTGAGATGATGTAGCAGTACTGTTTTAATTTGCATTTCTTAAATGATCAATGGTGTTGATCATTTTTCATATTTTTATTTGTCATTTGTGTTTTACCTGAGAAGTGTGTATTCATCTGAAATGCCCACGTTTAGAACAGATGTTTGAATTTTGGTAGCCTTGGTGGTTTCAACATTTATACACTCTAGCTATAATTTCTTTTTCTAATTGACAACTGCCTATAATCCTTTCCACCTCAGTGGGTTGCAGTTGCACGTTGTTGGTGACTTCTTTTGTTGTTCACAAACTCTTAAATAAAGTGAGATCTCATAGGTTGTTTCTTTGTGCCATTTCCCACACAATCTGGATATTGTTCGTGAAATCTCTGCTATGTTTATATCTTCAACATTAGTACCTACTTTTTCTTTGAGTAGGTTTAGTGTTTCTGTTTTAATGTTTAAATCTTTGATTCATGTTAACTTTAGGTTCATGCCACAGTGATGAATGAAATAAAGCAGATTCACAAGTGAAAATATTGAACTGTCTCTTTGTGAGATACAGAAAGTATACACAAGATCCAAAATGCACAGTGATAATGGGAATAGGCAAGAAACTGTCCAAAAGAAAAGAAAGACTGTATTGGGAGAAATGGAAAATGAAGAGAAGGAAAATAAAAAATATGCATAAATATATATTACACACACAAGATTGTTAAGATAGTTACACAGATATCTTCTCCAGTCTCTGAAGAGAAATTTTTGTGCTAATAACTTTTGGGATAATATTTCATGCCTATGTCTTGTACTCTGAACAACTAGTATAACAATATACAACACTTAATACTGTTATTCTCCTATTAGCCTGTTTGGCAACCCTCTTTGATTGTTATTTTAACAGATTTTCTTTTTAAGATAAAAATGTTGTTATTATCAGCTTAAA